CACTAAACATTCATCAAATTTGTCCAAAAAAAAAAAAAAAGTACGATAATCTAGACAAATCTGGGTCTGGGTGGACTGAGCCCTCTCTTGGTTGATAGGAATACAGAAAAATAAAAACGTTTTTTCAACTGCTCGAGCTGCTTGTTTACATTAAGCTTGTCACGTGCACACGCTTATCTTGCAATGCACAATTCCATTATTTACCCTTTTTGTCGAAGATCTTTGCAAACATGCTGCATCTAAGTTTTTCGATGAAATTGACATTTTCGGGGAGAAAATGTCACTAAAACGTCGTCGCAAAATCGACCGAATTAGTTGATATTATTGGATTTGCTTGGAATAATGCATAGGCAATGAAAAAACACATGTTGTACTTGAATGGGAACTGACTCTGAATCGTTCTGGAAGAGCGCGGAAGATTTGTGTATATTTGTACAAAAAATTGTTTCATTATTTAATTAAAAAATTATTCAGAATAATGTTAACTATTCAGTTAAAAGAATTATGAAAAAATATACCCAAATAAGAGTGTTATCTGCTAAAACTCTTTAAAATTCCCTAAAAAAACTCATAAAGTTTTTATTATTTTTTGATAGCGAAGGCCTCTTTTGGTGAATAACCGCTGATCAGTTGTAGTGTAGATGACTCTGATGAAAAACTGCTGATTTGTTGTGCTCAGTGAACAGTACTCTAGACACTGTTGTAGCATGTGGGTGGACTGAGCCCTCTCTTGGTTGGTAGGAATACATAAAAATAAAAACGTTTTTTCAACGTTTCTGCCTGTGAAGTGTTATATATTGCTATTCAGTATTCCCCTATATATACTGCTATTTAAGTTCTAGTATTTGTCAATTTTTTCTAATATTCTTGCGATTTTCTAAAATTCTTTTTCGTGTCTAAAATTTCCAAAACAATTCCTACGGAATTATGTAGCTAAGCCTATTTTAAGTTGACTTGTCTTCGACGAAACAGGCAAATAAAGGAGACCGGTGGAGTTTCAATGCAAGCTGGCTTGAATTGTGCATTGCCAAACTTAGCCTTGCTTGATACGCGTGCCCAGGTGAAAAGCTGAATGTAAACAAACAGCTCGAGCAGACAAAAAACAGCCTTCAAGTTATTTCTATTATTGTTATTGTTATTTTTTTTTAGAAAGATATTGCTGCGATGAGTTTGTTGAATGTTTAGTGCTCTCTGTGCCCTTCGTAAGGACCCAGGAAATTAACATGGGAATCAATCAACCATGTGAACAAACAATTTGAGAAGACAATATCGTAAATTATATATCATTGCAGTCTTTCTTCAAGCAAATAAACTGCGATAATTATCATTTGTGCGCGTTTATGATCCCTAACTGATCTTTTGAATCACCTGTAGCTTTGGCATCGCCAGTTCTTCCTCTTCTTCCCCGGACACACCTGAATCCTTCTACCGCAAGACAACAAAGGAAACATTCCTGTTTCTTGCACAGCCCATGACGTGACACCGCACTGGTCATTTTCCCCTCAAAAGGAATAAAGTGCCATCGAAAATAAAATTATCATGGAACAGATCGCTTTACACACCTGATGAAAAACAGAAAAAATTCTCGCGAAACGGGAGAAGGATTGGACGGGAACTCGGTCCAGTCCCCACACTCTTCAAGTCCAAAATGGCGGGCCAGCTAACTTGATGTAATAACAAATGCATCATCTCAATGCAAGGCTTTGTTTGGGTTATTTTCTTTATAAAAGCAAAACAAGCTTTTTGTTATCCAGCTCTCCTAACCGTGGATGGATGGTTTCATTTTTTCAGCTCTAAAGGACTCGGGAAATCACAGTTCACCTCGATACTGCTCGCTGAAGCTCGTATATGCCTGTGTAATCTACGTATGTATGGTCATGCTCCTTTGCTGATGGGTATTTAAAACAACTATTCAGGCTATCACAAGGTCAGGCGAAGATTGTATGTTAACGAACCTTTTGATAAGCTAAATTTATCTGGTAAAAATGTAAAAAAATGGGCCTGACAAAATATGGAGACTTTCCATGCTTGGAGTAATGCTTAGAAATATGACATGAAACTGACTATAAATCAAAGAATAATTTAAGCATCTTGTGAAAAGATTGTTATATGTACATCAGAACATCATCATTTGTGTTCTATGGTGGTTACTAGGTTTTCAAAGAATAAAATCACCTTTGTTTTGCTAAATTATGTGTTTGTTGCGCTAATCAGAGGCCCGTTTTAGATCAATTTTAAGGTAAGAATCGGTGTATTTCTAAACAACAAAACCGATTTGGCTTTGACAATTCATTTTCACTTACCAATTACAGAATAAGGGCTTCTTGTTAACAATTTGGTTTGTTTATGGCCTGAATTAGGCTCAAAATTCCATTTTGCATCGCCTTAGAGGGGCATGAAGTGTTTGTTCCAAAAATTCAATAAACCATAATAAGCCAAATTTTTCTCAACTGATTTTGATAACTGGGTGACTAAAGTAAACAGTGGTATAGGTTTGGAAGTTATGCAAGAAGGCAGGTGAATATAGTGAAATTTTGAAAAATGGCTATTTTGGGTTGTAATTTTAACATCAATTTTGGCCAAACTCTAGTCCCAGGCTTCTCTCTGTGCAATACCTTGAGGACAAAGTTACATGCATGAACTGAAAGCTCTATTATAGTAGAGTTCATGGTCAAATTCATTTGGCAGCACAAGTTAAGTCCCCTGGAAGGCTGGATTTTTGGTGCTCAAAGGGCAAAAAATGAGACCCCCCCTGTAACTCCAAAACTAAAACTCAGAGAACTGAGCCACAGTGGCTTTTGAAATATCTCATTATACCCAACTTCTGTGCCAAGTTTCAGCCAAATCGGTTGACCACAACTTTTGGCCCCTGGAACACTTTCTCAGACAATGACACTTAATTTGAAAGCTTATATATTTTTCTAGTTTCAAACTTTTGCACCACATGGTTATCTGTTTGCACCAACGGTGAAAATGATGTTTGAAGTTTGCAGGTCGCGAGGTTCGACAAGACGAATTTGTTTTCACTGGCTTTCTTGCATGCTACTGGTTTGGCATAAGTTAATTTGGGAGAAGGCGATAACTAAGAAAAGAATGGCAATACTTATGAAAGAAACCAAAATAAAGATGTCATCATTATCATTAACACTAGAATTAGGAAATAACATTTTAGTCTGTTCAACAGTTTTTTTATTATCAGAGAGAACAAGAACTCAAAACAAAAGATGTGCGGGATTTAATATCAACCTAGACTTTGATGACTGCAGTCACGAACACCCGAAGCTTTCAGTGCCAGGAAACTAAACATGCTTATAAAGACTGTCATTCCAGAAAATGGCTGTTTAATTCTTTTACATGGTTGTTCTTTGGTTGTTTTTTGGTCGGTGAAGACTTCAATAATTTCAGACTGTGCGGCTTGGCTGCATCTCACACAAACACGAAACTTTCAGCTACTAAATACATGGCATGAAATTTTGACTTCTAAAAGCCATCGAACCAGCTTTTGCTCTCTGATTCTGAGAATGAAAAAAATAAATAGAGTTGTCAACTTGCTGCCAACTTCAGCAGTATAATTAAGCTTATGTTTCATGGCAATCGACTCAGAAGAGTTTCGTTTCAAAACACGAAAATAAAAAATAAATAAATAAATAATGCTCGAATCGGCTTTAAGGCATGAAGACTGAGATACTGAAGAACTGAGAATTAGAACTACAATACACAAGCTTGCAATGATAACTTTTCATGTCTTAGTTTCAGCCAGGTTAGTGAAAAATAACAGTCAAACACTTTGTTTTCGTGAATGAAAATAATTTTACCTGACGCTCTGGCCAAAATTACACACTGAGTTATTAGTAGGTGTCTATAAAAGAAAAATAAATATGTATCAACTTACCTTTTCTGAATCTAATCGACTAATTGTTTCAGTGATCTGTGCCTGGTTATCCATAAAAGCAATTTCAATAACTATGAAATAGTCAAAAACACGAGCAGCATGAAGCAGAACAACTGAACCACAAGCTGCACACAGAATGAATCCAAGCGCACGCAGGAGACTTTGATCTGACTGGAAAGTGTGACTGAAAAAGAGACCGGAAATACTCAACCTGGCGCATGCGTAGACGTTTTGCCACGGTGTTGGTCCATGACCTTGTGCGTATGCTTGTGCTTCTGTTGACCCGCTTTTCACAAGTGAAAGCTACGGCAAAGGAGACATAAGCATGAGCATAAGCACAAGAAGAACGAACTTGTGCATTTTTCTTTCGCTTTTGCTTATGTCCACCAAGTTTTCACTTGCTTACACATGTGCTTGTGCTTATTCTTAGGGGGTAATTACATGAGACCGAGATGACCTCAGACCAGTACGAAATTTTTTCAGCTCTTTACATGAGATAGGAACGAATTGCTTGGTTGATTACAAGAAACCGGTACAAACTCAGAGATAGCAAAATTTAACTGCTACTGCTTTCTTCATCTTTTTGTTTACTCATGTTATCATCAGTAGTGCTAATATCATTACTCAGACTCATAAAAAACGAAGCGAAAAAGAGGAATTCAATACTATGCGAAACAAACACGGCTGGTCCATGTAGTAAACAATTCAAGACAACACCAAAGAAAAGAAGATGGTGGGTTGCTCCGGGAAGGAGTGACAGGTGGTGGATGAACATGTGGAGTAGCGAAGCTATTGCTGAAGAATGGATAAAAAACTTTAGAATGCCCAGAGAACAATAATATTTGAGGCATTAGCTGATGAGCTAAGTCCACATATTTCCCCTGATCCTTCATCTCCAGGAATGGGACTCTCAGTTGAGAAAAAACTGGGAATCACTCTTTACCTTCTGAAGGACACCGGAAGTATTACTCTAACCGCTAATGCTTTCGGAGTCAGTGCTCCAACTGTATCAAAAACAATTAGAAGTGTTTGCAATGCAATAAATACTAATCTAGGACCCAGGTATTTAAAACTACCAAGAGGTAATGAGCTCTATGAAACATTCAACTTGTACAAAACTTTGCTTCCTGGTAGAGAGAAGGTGCCTCTTCTCTTGTTGGCTGATCCAGCATACCCCTTACTACCCCATTGTATGAAAGAATATTAAGTTTTTAATGCACAAGTAATGTTTAACACAATGTTACGAAGTGCTCGCAACCAGATTGAGTGTGCTTATGGGCAATTAAAAGCCAGGTGGCCAATTCTGACAACATCCCTAAATTCCAACCTTGATGATATCCCAGTAATAGTCTATACTTGCTTTGTATTGCATAATTACTGTGAGATGAACAAAGTAGGAATAGACAAGATATCAGTAGCATCTCCTCAGCAAAGCAATGCAGATGAGAGACAAGGGTCTCTTGACAGGAGATATAGTGTTACCACTGCTCAAGGTTTTAAGACCAGGGAGGTTATAACTGATTACTTTAAAGAGTATATGGTTACAGTTTAAATCATAAAATCAGACATTTTTATCCAAGTGGCTGAACAAGGGCTAGAGACATTTTTTTGTATGAATAAGTATTTTCTATTTCTTGTTAAATTAAGATTTTCTTTGTATAAGTAATAGTTGATTTGGTCTGACCTAATTGTTTAAAACTTCATGATAGTTTTAAACTCTTCAAGTGTGAATTATGGAAAGTGTACAAAGTGACTCTTTTCATTCAGTTCACATTGAATTAATATAGATTTTTAACAACAATATGTATTTTTGTACCTACTCTCTTTTGAACATGTCTGAGGGGTGTCTACACAGTTAGACATTGTTTATTGACATGGCTAAATAGTAACAGCATGTAGTTATAGGGTAGTACACGAAACCACTAAAAGCTTAACATGAAGAGCAATATTATTTAGTTACCTTATTGTATTGAGTTCAGACATGGTTCAGAAACATATGTAACTGGTTTATTCAACACAACAACACTAACAATGTTCTATTTTTGCCCCTTTGGCATTTGTGTTACTTTTCATAATACATACAGATTATTAAAATCATTACGTTATATTGTAAACAGTCCAACTTTGGTTATTCTTTGATAAAAATCACATTGAAATATTAACCTGTGATAAAAAAACAATGCGAAAAAGACTGTCAAACTTCAGACAGTTTTACCAAAAGAGACCATACAGCAATTCTGAGTATGCTTTTATTTAACAACACAATTCAAACAAAATAATGGTACCTTCTGAACCATCCAGTGATAAAGAATGTCAGTCACTCGTGTCTCTCTTTCTATCATGCAAGAACTTTAACCAAAATAAACGGTAGCCATAAGTGTTCATATCAATACTTTAGTCCTACATCATCCCAGTCACATCCACTGTGGGTACAAACTTGGGTCATGGTCTTCTACACTACTCTCCTCCCAGCTGGCACTACTACTTGCACTTGGAGAAGCAGAAGCTACAGTGTTGAAAGGACTTTGTCTCCCAGAAAACGGCTGTAGTACACTGTATTGGCTTGGATTGTTGTGATAAGCACCTCCAAAAGGATGTACATGATCCTGCTGAGGGTGTCTTGGAGCATTGAACTGATAATTACTACCTTGAAGAGAATTCAGCTGCTGAAACCCTGTCAGGATAGCCTGGCTTAAAATCTGCATCGAATCTGCTATTTTACTGAGAGCCTGATCAGCAGAAGAAGTGTTGGACGTGTCTTGAGCCAGAATTTTCTTTTTAAGTTCCATATCCCCCCTCATTGTTTCTAACATCATACACTCTTTTTGCCTTGTGCTTAACTTCTTTTCCAGCTTCTTTCTCTTGTCATCTACATATCTTGCTGTTGCACATTTTTGTTTTTTATGTTCTGGTGGCCCTGCTTCTTCATCATCTTTAGTTTCTGTGGACAAGTCTTCACTTTCCTTGGTGTCCACTTTGCCACTTGGCTTTCCTGACTCTGATGATGTCTCTGCCATGGTATTTATTCCACATTCTAGTGGCTCTGCACCTGGGGTTCCTCCCCAAATTGCGACTAAGGTGTCCCAGTGTTCCTTGATAATTCTTCCACTCCCAGACCTTGTGGACTCTGCAACACATTTTTGAAAGCCCGATCGTAGTTTCTTTACCTTGGCTTTAATCCTGTCGTACCCTAATTTGATTGCCCTTTCTTGTTCATCGACCTTTTCCTTGAATTCTCTGTACTCGTCTCTACTCATTTCGTCTATTTCTACCGACGGCTGCATGATTTCCTTTGGGCCAAAATCAGACTCTTCAAATTTTTCGGCCATCATTGTACGTACGTCTGCATATAGCTTTACCAGATCGCCTTCGAAGTCCAAGCCTTTCCCCGCCATGTTCGACTTTGTGTCTCTTAAGAGTGGCTGTCTGTAAGGATCGAGAATCGGCGGTCAGCGACCCATTTGGCGAATCCCTGATATTTTGCCCAACGTTAGCCTTGGGTAGACTGTTTTCAAAAAAACATATTCAAAAGTTCCAACGATTTTGTTTATTTGGGAAATTTGAGAAAAATTAAAAGTGCGGTCAAAATGCGGTCAAAGTGCGGTTTTTTGGTTGATCAAAAAGGTGCGATTATAAACCTCCGCCGAAATCTTAAAATGAAATCAGTTGACCTCAAAATAAAAATAATTTCAAAGCAATCAATCTTCTACACTACCAATGTTTTAATCTTTTCAAAATATGATAATACAATGGTTTTTCAGGCCATTTAGAAAACATCTTCGGAGACCGCTTTCGATGGCGGCAAAATGTAGCTAATATCCATCAGGATAAAAATGTTCCTGGTATGTCAGTTTTTAACAATTAAGCATTGCAGACCTAAAATATAGGTCTTAAAGATTTACCAAGTAAAGTTTCAAGGTCGAAATCGGAACGCTTCCCTTCGAAGGAATCGAAAGTCTGAGCAATATCAACGTGCAAAATGGCGCTGGATTTATAACAAACATCCTATGCATCTAACATTATAGTTACAATCACTTGCGTTAAAATATCAAACTACATTTACCTTTGACAGTTTTAAGTTTGCCGCTTATAGAAATATCCAAGAGCTCATAGGAGACACATCCAATGCTTTGAACAGATCAGTTTGATGTATATAGTCCGCTTTGGTTATCGCAAGGTAATGTAAACAAACGTGATAAATCAGTTAAACCAGCCGCCTTTGTGTCAAACTATCCATCCAGGACGTTTTCCTAGATATTTATCGTTCTGCAAGGTTTCTTGAATGAAATAGTAATCGTGTGACTTTAAAAAAAAACGAAGGTAGTTTGCTGGAAAGACCGTTGAAATTTCGGAAATAGTTATTACCGCGACAATAATAATAACCGGCAAAGTGCCACATCATAGCTATAGGCGGTATTGAATCATACAGGCAGAAACAACGTTGCGGAAAGCCATTTTCCACTAAAGGGAGAGTTTGAATCCACGTTAGTTTTCACAATTTCAAACGGCTTTTGTTTTTAGTATCTGAAACACACGAAGCTACATGTGTCAAGAAATCGAAACAAACAGCATTCTGTCGATCAGAATAAACCGCGTCTTGCTATTCGAGTCCAGTAAATGTAACGCAATCTCAGTTACCCTCTCCCACCCATCCAGCGTGGTTTAGAAACTTAAACAAGTTAATTGTGCTCAAATCAGTATTTTTCTTAAACGAAGTATTATTTTGAGGCTCCGGTAGGAATAATAATATTAAAAAAAAACAACAACAGTAACAATAACTTCCCACCCGCGGGATAAACGTTTTGACCTGTTGTCAGGATGGGGGTGGGGAAGGAGTACGTTTAGAAGTAAAAATTTTTCGCAGGGTATTTTTCAAAGTAAGATCTTTGTTTTAGGTCTTGCTAAACGCAGTTATAAAATGAATTTCATTACTACATTTCGGTAGGGGAGTTTTCTTTGATATTGTTTTTTGTTTTTGTTTTGTTTTGTCATTGACTCTCAGACTTGGGGAGGAAGAGGTAGTCCCTTAGTTCCTGTGGAGGCGGCTCTGATCGCAGTATTCTCATTACGTAAGTGGCTTTAGTTCAACCCCAAAACAGTTCCCTTCATTTTCATAGGTACTGCTGCAGCTGCGGTCGTTTTAGAATTTTAAACCCTAGGCGATAGGTACCAACCTAAGAGAGAGAACCTGGGAACGAGGTTGTAAAAGGTACGACTAGGACCTTGGCAATTTTTTGAGGAAGTACCCTTCTCCCCGTTTTCAACCCGTTTTACCAAACTGGTTGTCGCTAAAACACTTCCAGGAAGCTATTAATAAAAGGGTTACTTTCGGCATGTGCACTTTTTGGTTATTTCCTCTAAGAGTGCCAAGTATGGAGCCTTCTTGCGCACAGGCGGGACAGGTGCATCAAGGCAGAGATCCTCTTACAAGCACTGAAGCATCGGTAGCGTGAGGACTTTCAGGTTACCACTGAGCGCCATCTCAGACAGGTTGTACTGATCGTATACCAGAGGATGGTTGAGCTGAATGGTTTCAACGACCTCCTTCGCTGCACTAAAGTTAGCTTCCTCTTGAGATGCCCGGATATCGGCTTCATCCGCAGAGTCCTTTTGCCGTAGTGTAGCGCTTTGCCTTGAGAAGAATGCCCGCAAGACCAATAATTTTGAATGAGGACTGCAAGGTGTGCTAGGATTACCCGCACCCCCAAGGCAAAAATACAAACAAGGGACACGTGATAATTAATACATCTTAAAAGCGCCTTTCCCTCTCCTTGCACGCTCTCTCCTCTCTTGTCACTGTCTCCTGGAAATTTCTTACTGTTTCTTTAATAGAGTGCTAGCAAACTCCTCGCCTTGTGTGCCACCTTATATGTGATTCTTAACCGTAAAAAAATTACCATTATCTAACCAATCTTCGCAGAAAAGTCTGCAATTTACGTGATCCAACTGGAATAAGTGTGTTCGTGTTTTTGAAAATAAACGCCGACTTCAAGCTATCCACTCGGTGGCTCCCTTTAGCAGTTGTAGATTTATGTACCGCTAATTCTTTGGGTACTGTACACATGGTCTTCCCTGCCCTCCAGCGGATGCCGAAATCAGCCCTGTGCCTTGGACAAATGCTCAAGGCATAGTGATGTTCTTCCACTGAGAAAACCCCTCGAAGGAGAATGATGTGTTGAGAATAACCACCCCCAAGTGCATGATGGTAAAAGAAAAACGTATAATAATAATAATAATAATAATAATAATTATATAGCTGATAAAAAGACAAAAATATTATATTTCAGGGTGGAATTTACCTGCTCTGGCTAACAGCAACTTTATTTCAGATCCCAAACACTCATCTGCGAAGAGGTTTACGCTCTTTAAATGGCCAGTTAGTTCTTTTGTACAGTCTTTGGGCGCAATACATTCCAGCTGACCAGGATAATCTGCGGACTGACCGCAAGGTGTGCCCTGGGAAGGGGTGACCTTACCTAGAAGCGCTTTGTAGCTACAGTGAGCCATTCAAGAAACGAAGAGACTGAGTTAAACAAGGATATATGACCAACGCTGTATTTTCAAACTGTTGCGAAATGTTGTTGCATAATAGCGACGGGTGTGCTCGTGGACACGGTTGCGTGACTTTCTGGTAAATTTCCTGTGCGCCAAGCATGCACGCATTTCGAAGCGCTCTAAATGGATCTGAATATGAACTTTAAAGCCTCTGATGTGTTTTTACAGAAAGTTTGCAATGGTGGGCACAAAATGGAGAAAAGGATAAGGTAAACGTAAATTTCGTTTTCGGTTTCATGCTGTCAGTGCCAATTTTACAATAGCGCCAAATTAGTGCACTCTTTGTTTGTTTGGGTTCGGATTACTTTGTTTCCTCCTTTTCACTTCGGTGCAATTCAACGAAAAGTCATGAGTTGATAGTATTAAAAATATTTGGAGTGCTGTACTGCTCGCATCCTGAGCGCTTGAGACATCGATACAAGGTTGCATTTTCAGGATACGGCGCTTTAGGAAGATCAAGATTCCAGGCAGTGCCGAGATATCCGGGAGCTAGCTTAGCAATTATTTTCAACCGATCTATATTTTGAAACTGTTTTAATAGGTCTGAGAGGCCGGATGTGTTTTAATATTGCAACCTAATCTAAAACGACTTGTGAATTTCAAACGAAAGAAGATATGGAAAGTGCCCTTCTGATCGAATAACGGGACGAGAAAACTGGTTTTTAATGTTTGTTGATAAGCGCTGATACTTCTTTGTAGTGGATTTTACGCGTTAATATTACAAAGTTAACTGACTTGTCTGACTTGTCTCATAGGAAGCGTACTGAGTTAGACCTTCAAACTTTACTTAGTAAATCGTCAAGACCTATATTTTAGCTCTGCGATGCTTAAACTTAAAATTGTCAAAGGTAAATTTAGGGTTGATATTTTAACGCGAGTGATTGTAACTGTAATGTTAGGGGTTTGTTATAAATCCAGCGCCATTTTGCACGTTGATATTGCTAAGACTTCCGATTCCTTCGAAGGGAAGCGTTCCGAGTTCGACCTTGAAACTTTACTTGGTAAATCTTTAAGACCTATATTTTAGCTCTGCAATGCTTAATTGTTAAAAACTGACATACCAGGAATATTTTTATCCTGATGAATATTAGCTACATTTTGCCGCCATCGAAAGCGGTCTCCGAAGATGTTTTCTAAATGGCCTGAAAAACCATTGTATTATCATATTTGAAAATATTAAAACATCGGTAGTGTGGAAGATTGATTGCTTTGAAATTATCTTTATTTTGAGGTCAACTGATTTCATTTTAAGACTTCGGCGGAGGTTTATAATCGCACCTTTTAATGAACCAAAAAACCGCACTTCGACAGCATTTTGACTGCACTTTTAATTTTTCTCAAATTTCCCAAATAAACAAAACCGTTGGAACTTTTGAATATGGTTTCTGAAAAAAGTGTACCCAAGGCTAACGTTGGGCAAAATATCAGGGATTCGCCAAATGGGTCGCTGACCGCCGATTCTCGATCCTTACAGACAGCCACTCTTAACACTTCCAACAACTCTTCCACCATCTCGTCGGTAAATAACCACCTTTCTTTCCTTTTCTCCTTCCCAGCAGTTGCGTTCGTCTCCTTATCCGCCATCTTTGAAGTTTATGCGCATGTGTATTGAGTATATCGCTGACCCAAAGGACTGCAGAATTTGAAATTGCAGGCTCAGATCTGAGGCTGGTTCACGTTTACATGAGAACGGTACGGACTCAGACCGGTACGAAAAACACTCGTGTCGGGTCAGCGACCGACAAGAACTCAGACCGATCTGCGTTTAATTTCTGACCGATCTCATGTAAACACCTAAAAAGAAATGTATGAAAACCGATACGAACTCATGCCGGTCTGGGTTCGTTCCGATCTCATGCGCTAGTGAAAACCTTTTTTACGCAATGAAAATGGCGATAGATCGTGCTATTATCTTTCTCTGTTGTTTGCTTGTAATTTCCTTTACTTCTTCAGCGAAGGGGAAAAAGAAACAAAGGGGTGAATATATTCATCCTTTTAGTGATGAAGCATACGAAACTATGCTTTCGCTGGTGCAGGGAACGTTTAATGTTCCTGTGGCGGAAAGGACAAGGGAGCAGAAAAACGCCGTCGTTCGATTTTGGCGCAACAGGAGTCGATATCATCTTGGCCCTCAGACTACACCGACCTTGTATTTTGACGGCAGGAAAGTCTTGAAAATATCATCGATATCAAATGTTGTAGGAAAGACGTTCAAAGATGCAAAGTCTGCGGGGTGTAAGAAGATTCGTAATCGCGCGGCAGCGGGATTTGCTGGATTGAGCGAAAGGCGAATACTAAGTGTAACAAACAGTGAGTTGAAATATAGAATTCACAATGCCAAGTTCACGAACAAAGCTGTACCAAGACCCGTAACTGCTAAACATGTACAGTCTCAGCATCAAGTTGATCTAATGGCCCTTATTAACGACGCTGTTAAACATAATGGGAAAGTGTACAAGTATGTCTTGAGCGTTATGGATATTTTCAGCAGATTTGTCTGGCTACGCCCATTAGAAAAAAAAAAGACAAGTAGCCGTGTGGCTATGCTTCTTTCATCCATATACTCCGAACATGGCCCACCGGATCGTCTGCAAAGCGATCGTGGTCCAGAGTTCTTGGGAAAGCTAAAATCGTTATGTAAAAAGTGGAAGATCAAAATGATCAAATCTCGACCGTACCACCCTCAATCCCAGGGGAAAGTCGAGAGGTCGCATAGACGGTTAAGGGAAAAATAAAATACGACCTTATCGCTTTAGGTAAGAAGGGAGTAAACTGGGCAAAAGAATTTGCCAGATTATAACCGTGTTCTCAATGAAGAAAGTAAGGAGGAACTGGGCTGGAAAACCCCTTTCAAATATATTATGGTCGGAGATCGAATGTTTTAGTTAAAGCACCTTTAAATTCGGAACAATCAGATGACGGACATGTTGTTAGCAGCTTTCCTACACAAAATGATTTAAATCACCATTCCAGAAGCATCAAGAGACTTCGAAAAAGGGCAAGTGTTTACAGCAAGAGGTTGAACTATCGCATGATGAAACGGCACAAAAAGCTGCACAGAGCTGTCAGTTATAAACCAAAAGAGAGAGTTTTGGTTCGTTATCGTGCGGGAAAGGGGGCCAGTAGCATTGGATCGAGAAAACGGTACGTTATCCAGGGCACTGTGATTAAAAAAAAAACCAAGAGTGACATGTATAAAATAAGATTCATTACACCGGATTCTTCAAAAAAAAAACGGACCAATGGTTCTCCGTAGAAAATCTGACTGCGTTGAGCACACAAAGCCAGGTTAGCAAGAGGACACGACAAAGTAAACGGATAACCAAAAGAAAACTGCAAGAGCATAGAAAGAAATTTGCTATACTATTGCAGCCATGTGATAAATTCATCGACAGGGACTTTGGCGATGTAGGCTTGTCTTTATTGTATAACCCTCCAGGCAACGGTAATTGCCAATTTGAGGCTCTATGTTTCTGGTTGAGTCACCTTGGCATTTTTCGTTCAGCAGAAACTATTCGTGAGGAAGTGGTACAGTATCTTGAGGATCATCCAAATAATGCGGAAGGCATACCCTTAGAACTTTTCGCTGCTATGCCGTGGTCGCAGTACCTGCGAGAAATGTTAACCGATGGTACTTATGGAGACCAATTGACATTACAAGCTGCAGCTGATTTGTACAATATTCAGATCGTCGTGTTCTCAACACTGGGTGCAAATGCAACTGCTGTAATTTCCCCCTCATTTAGCAATCCGATCGCAACGATACACCTCGGACACTATGCAGAACAACATGGCGAGCATTATATATGCGTTAACAGCGATCGGCTGCCTGAAAGCGTTATTGAACTTGAAAGGAGTGATGCTTGTGAAAACGAACCCTCACGAGATATTGGGTTGGACTGTTCATGTGAAAAGAGCGCGGGAACTGAAAAGGATCCAGGAGTTAATTCGAACGTTAAACTGAATTTAAAGTTTAGTGAAGTAAGTGAAAACGAACAGAGTATCATCTTTGTAGCGGACGAGGATGTCATGACCTGTAATAGCGTCTCGCACTTAGACAGGCTACCCAACGAAATTCTTGAGAAGATTTTATTTATGGTCCTATCGTCTTCAGGCTTCAGGTGGCCCAACCATATTTGTCAGGTATTTCGGCAACTTTTTAATGTTAACACTCGCTTTAGATCCATTTGCAAAAGATTTATCCTGAGGCTTCCGCGAATTCATTTTCCATCGGGAGGTGACAGCGGGATTGTAAGTGTGAGAAAGATTATTAAGCATTACGGATCCTTCAGTGGTCTTGCGATCGAAATCCGGCGTGTAATGTCTCATCCTAAATGGGCAAATGCTTGGTTGAAATTGCGCTACTGCGGCAATGCATGGTTTATTATACTTTCCATCTTGTGGAAAAAAAAAAAGTAATCCTGCACAGTAATTTTCAAGGAGTTACAATAACTCCTCTAGCGGGATTAATTTAACTCCTTACGGTAGAGTTATTTTTGGGGGTGTTATTTTAACTCCATAAAGGAGTTTAAAGAACTCTTTTTCAGGACTAAAAATGACCCCAGATATTGAGGAGTTTAACCCCCAAAAAGGAGTTATCCTGTACATTAAATGTTCAATCCACTTTCAGAGTTGAAGTAGCTCCAAAAAGAGTAAAAACAACCCATGTAAGGAGTAAAAATAACCCCATTTTCGGAGTTATTTGAACTCCAGACTGGGAGTAAAAAGAACTCTTTTTCAGGAGTAAAAATAACCCCAAATTTGGAGTTAAATTAGGTGAAGTAACCCCAAAAAAGGGGTTATCCTGTACCAAAAATTTTTACTCCATTTTTGGAGTTCTAATAACTCCTTAAAAATTACTGTGTGAACACGCTCGGAAGAAGTTGCACGCGGACGGAGAATATTTTTACTATCCCCACGGTATTTGTTTTAGTAGGCTCCATAGCAAAAAAAAATGTTTTAAGATGGAATGAGTACTCCTTTTGTCCTTAAATGGGACCAAATCAAGAGAGAATAATGAACCAAATAGTCAGTCGGCTCCGCGTATGATCCCAAGTGAGTTTTACAAAAACAGCCGGGTATAAGGTATCGGCCAGCTACTAACTGGATTTTGTGTTTGTGTTTCTGTTGTGGTTTGAAGGTTTGCCAATCATGACGTTTCTGTTTATTTGTAGTGAACATTTTGAATTTAACCGGCCTCGTCTGATTAAGTTGGCAAAAGTATGGAAGCCACTATTACTTCCTTTAAGACTGCGCGTTAGACAAGGACGGTGTTGTGATCTAAAAAAGAAAACTGATGTAAGAATGGATGTTCAGATTTTTGGAAATTAAATGCCTTTTAATAATAGCCTAGTTGTCTATGTCAAGTGTGTCTAGATTCTTTACTCTGACAAAATGCTCCCCGTCTTGTTTTATACACTGGACGAAAAAAAGGATTTGCTTAAGTTTGCTAGTTGAGCAAATCTATTGTAAATTTAGGCATTTTTGGTACTAATGTTGCTACTTATTTGTTCTTGGTAGGCAAATTTTGTTCAAAAGTGAAAGTTTACTTTTCTGCAAGGGTGTCGTAAATGTGGAGTAAATATCAAGTTTACACAGATTTTGTTTCACTTTTGCTCCCAATAGTGAATTTGGTGTTTAAATTCAAATTTGCCGCCATTTTGTTCTCTGTGTAAAAATCAAACGGCTAAAAATGAATGTTCCTTGCGCAGCTTGATATTTTCTGGCATAGCAAAGTTACTGTGTAAATGTATGGTTACTAGAGCCGTAAATTTAAGCAAAATATGATCAAAGAACTATCTTTACGACCCCTTTAACTAACGTTTACACATTCACCAAACTTGTTATTTCACGCAAGTTTTGATTTTCCATTGCCCCGTTTGAGGGGGACATTGGGATTTTCGCTTGCGGTTTTGGCTATTTTTTAGATCGGTTTTTCGGTTTTTGTTGCAAAAGACTTCGGTTTTTCGGTTTTGGTGGTCATTGCGGTTTGCGGATTTTTCGTTTTTTAGCATCTGGTTTTCGGTTTTCGTGAAAAACACTAGCGGTTTTTCGGTTTTGGTACCCAATGTGGTTTTTGGTTTTTCCTATTTTGTCCTATTTTGGGTTCCGGTTTCTGTTCGATTTGAGGAGCACTTGATCTCGAATAGCCGCGAAACGCCAAAGTTATTTAGAGGAATGCGTACCTCCCGCGCCAGCAATTGTGGATTGTGTTGCGTTTTTTTACGAGGAGGGAAAAGGCGGCGAGAATTTTTGAAAGAAAAACAAGTTAAGATGTAAAGTGAAAAGGGAAGAGACAAACCTGCAGAAGCTTAAGAATAGTGTTTCGTAAGTCAATCGACAATCATTAATGTCATTATACAGTGAAACCTGTATTAAGCGGACACCCTCTATTAAGCGGACAGTAGACGAAGTCCCAAAATTTATTTCCTTTATTTACTTTAAATGAAACCTTTATTAAGCGGACACCTCTATTAAGCGGACGCGGACACCTAAAAAGTACGTGAAATAGTCATTTTGTATTGTTACCAACCTCTATTAAACGGACACTTGTAATCAAATTCCACTACCCAACATGCCAGACACCGGAAATGCGAAAGATTACCTCGAATTGCCACCCACAACTTTTTCGATTTTTACATTAAAAAACGTTACTCGACGAACTTATTTGATTAGTTCCACAGTACAGTATTTTTTTTTTCTATTTCGTTTTGTTTGTATAGAGCTTGTTTCACTCATCTGATTTCTTCAAATTTGAGTTGCAATCTATGTTTATGGTACTATGACCAATCGGTCCACTTTGATAAAGAAATTAATGCAAACGTATATCGTCAAAGTCTCTGGGAGTATTGTTAACATTTCCACTGTTCATTTGAATAGCATTTGACATCTCATATGACGTTATCTATCGAAACCTTTATTAGGCGGACACCCTGTATTAAGCGGAAACTACAGCATTCCCCGAGGGTGTCCGCTTAATACAGGTTTCACTGTATTTACATTACAATAGCTTAATCACTATAGTTTATCCCATACATAAAGCTCGTTTACGAAGACTTAATGTCCCTAATAGTCCTAATACATTGAGAATACGCAATATCTAAGCGTAGAAGATCGAAGAGAGGTTAAGATCAGAGACTCTGTTCACAGGGTAATCAAACACGTTGCACGTTAGACAATCGAGTCTCCAAACTTTCAGGTGTTAGTTATCAAATGGAAATGTTCGATTAGAGATTTTCGATTGAAGTTTCCAGAGCTATAGCTTTTTGCGACTGCAAAATTGCAATTCTAAAGAGGACTTGTGTGAAAATTCTCCTATACCTAGCGGCTTTTCGGAAATTGAGCCGCAAAGTCTGGGCTCGAGAGACCGGCAGAAACAAAGCCTATGATTTAACAGACACAAAAAGAAACAAAGGCTTCAGACAAAGTCCATGACATTCACAAATACTTTGGTGAAATTAGTGTTAGTTTAGTTTGCTCTGTATGCCCCACTTGTCACCATTGTATCGGTTTTTGACGGTTTTGTATGCGGTTTTCGGTTTTGGCCGAATTGTTTTGCGGTTTTGCGGTTTTGGATGAGTTTTTCCTTCGGTTTTGCGGTTTCTATTATACCCCAATGCCGCCCTCCCGTTTCAATCACCATCGCAGTCTTCTCAAAGTTTATAATTGGTTATTTCGGCTAAGACCATCCCGCCTCCCTTTTTTTCGTTTAACGTCGAATGCGTTTCCTGATATTGGGTCGGTCGGTCGGTCGGTCGGTCGGATTGAAAAAAAAAACAAAAACTAAAAAGAAGACTATCACAAGAAGTCTCGGAATAGGAGGCCCTGGTACCCCTTTACATATTTGGATTAACAAAATGCACAATGTGAAAGTTTTGAACCCAGGAGTCATTTCAATAGTAGGTTGCAGAGTTTGATCGTCCGAGTAGCCTGCGTGGCAGGCGTTAAAAGGGGAAGGGGAAGGGGAAGGGGGAAATTTTCTCCATCGCAAGATTAGCCGCCATGTTTGTTGTTTCCCAGGCTTCCACAGGCTTCCAAGTGACTTTGGCACATGCGCAGTTTCAACAAATAGGAACGTGTAAATGACATTCCGTTGAACAGTTCAAATTCACGCGGACTTCACAAGCAACACAGCGTTGCAAACAGAGTATTTTTGTTACTAAAGTATTTTCGTATAAGAGAAAGCCTGTCTTTCTATTAATACCCATGTTATTTTCGAGAGAAAGTGATCAGTTGCGAAGCTCTTCACATAATGTTTCCAAGTCATCAACTCAGCTGGATTGCAGAAAGGTACGGTATGTTCTTGATATCGTGGTTCGAGTTTACTTACTTTGGTTTTCTAATAACTTTGCGTAAGCTTAAAACTTCAAAGATAAATCTTAAAATTTAAGATGCAAGCACAGATATGCCATTGATTGATTCCTTTTTGTTTACTGCAGAAATAGCTGTACCCTTTGTTGCGCATCGTCTTCATTAATGGCATAATCTTAAGTAGCCAGATCTTGAGCTGTGCAGGCAAACATTTTTTTTACACCAATATAAGTCGGTGATGTGACCTTTACATGTCCATAATTCAGTAGTTTGGCTCGTTGGACAGTTGAGTTAATATGTTAGATCTTTTGGGTTACTGTACTTTTCAGGTGACCGCACTTGACAAAGCTGTGATCACTATAATTTATTATTGTTCTACTACATTTCAAATGACAAATGATTAAATTCCTTTTTGAAATTTTTACGGTCAAAAACCCTTGTTTTACATCTATACACAGTTATGGTTTAGTGATATTGTGAAATCTTAATTTTCAAATTTTGGTTCAGTTTGCGAGTGACAGCACTATTGCCAGATCTTGATAAAAGCATATGTGTCATTCTGAGTGACCACTGTATTATTGTTCCACACTTAAATGACAAGTGATTCTTATTTCATAAATGTTACTGTCAAAACTCTTATGGTTTATACATATGGTTCAGTGATATTGCGAGATCTTAATTTTGGTTCATTTTGCGAGTGATGGCACTTGCCAGATCTTGAAGCATAATGTCTTATTCTGAGTGGCCACTGTATTATTGTTAAACATTTAAACAAAAAGTGATTCTTCTTTCATAAATGTTACTGTCAAAACTCTTATGGTTTATACATATGGTTCAGTGATATTGAGAGACCTTAATTTTGGTTCATTTTGAGAGTGACGAAACTTGCAAGATCTTGAAGCCTACGGTAAATCCTCTATTAAGCCCCCCCTCTCTAATAAGCCCCCCTT